TCCATCACCCCTTCTTTCCGCTCTGGCCAACCTCTGTCTGATCACAGGGTCATATCCACCCATGATCTCTTCTGAATCACTCTGATCATCATCATCATCATCTTCAAGTTCCATCCTCCTGAACCTCACTCTACCCTTAGTTTCCAGACATCTCGTTTTCTTCCTACTTTTGGAGTTTTGATTCATCTTTATGGTCGTTTCTGCTTTTCCTCTCTCTATTATTCAAGCACTTTCATCATGTTGATGACGTCAGGGTTAAGAGTCCCTTCCACTAGCCATGGTTGTTCAATGTCAGGTCAACGTTTATTCCCTTTTCCAGATAACCTTGCAATACCATTAACTAAAGGTTTACTATTTTCTACTACATCAACAGGAGTAATTACTTTCATAGTTTTTAAGTCCTTTTCCCCCCTTGTAACAACTCTTTTATATTCCTTTATTGTGAATTATTTTATTATTTTAGACTATGTAGCTTATAGTTCCCTCTTTTTTTTTTCTTCCCCAAAATAATTAATTTATTTATTTTTTCATCAATTTACTTATCTATTCATTTAATTTTATTTTATTTTACCAAATTATTGATTAGTGGTAATCTTACCACATCCGATCAGGAAAGTAAATGAAAGTAGTCACCTTAGAGCAATCCAAAAAATAAAGACCTGTAATCCAGCAACACTACAGCACTCACAAACCCATTGCTTAATAAGCACCCAAGTACTTGAATTTTACAGAATAATGTCAGTGCTGGATTTCCAACACAACTCTAATCAAAACAACTCATTCATAAAAACCCTAATGTGCAATTATCAATTACATCAATGCATCAGTCTGTTGCCAAGTTCCTGTATTTTATGCATACCTATGTTCACATTCGCGCTAAGAAATAAGCAAACAGCTTAACTCAGGAATATTATAAATAGCGCAATAACAGTTTATTTTATTTATTTTTAATCCGTCAACATATCTCTAGTTTATCAATTCAATAGGTCTCAATCAAATAGTTTCGTCGTTAAACAACAGCCGATTTAACAAACAGACTACTCTATTAGTGTCTAAATCTCCCCCTTCTTCTCTGTCTGCTCTGAGTCTGCGTCTCCCAGCAGCTCAGTGCAGGCAGGGGAGTGGCATATTTGCTCTACGTAACTCTAAACTCATAAAATCCCACGCATGCGTAGTTCATTCACCAGTGCGATTTCAGAATGTAAGGAGCTCTCTCCCAGCTAAACAACAGAAAGTAGACAGACCAACTTTACCTCTGTTCTTTCCCCCAACAGACAAACAGTAACACTTAACAGAGCTCACAAACCAACACAAAACATAGAACACAAATCCTACTTTGAAGTTTCTTAACTTCACTTATCCTAATCTGCAGATTTATAGTTATTTTCTTATCCATTACAAAACATCTCTATACACTCTTAAAAACTCCTCCCTGTAGGCTCATGATTTTCTAATAGTTAGTAAACGTTCTCTTTTTATAGAGACTTCTAAGATTTTTAACCTTAACATCCTTACAGGTGGCTCATATATAGTTAACAATTATTAACGTTCTCACAAACAGAGACTCATAAGATTTTAACTTTAACTTACATATTTCCTTACAAAAAACTAAAACCCCTGTTGTCATAGCCTTAGTCGACACACAGCTGGAACACAGCAGAGACCTCTCCATGTACACACACACATGCAAAGGCTCTCTTCCTCTCACACACACACAATTCAAACAAGAATGCATCCGTTCATACAATACACTAAGCATGCTACCGTCGCTCCTTATTTCTCATTGTTCCTTCCTAAATTTGTGCTACCTCGAGTTGCAGATATTCAATGAGAGATTACTTCGAACATATACTTCGTCAACTATATTCCGAGAGGTAACGTGCAATTGAATGTATCTTCCACAAACTCACAGTTCCCAGAACTGACCTGAAAGTCAACCTAGTGACTCTCCTAGGATTTATGGCCCATCTTAATGATCGCCTCGTTTGAGGGCTTCCTTAAATCAGCGACGTCCTAAAAGTATACTTTTTCCTTATTTCCTGGCCTTATTCCTTCATGTTATTCCTGGACACTCCTTTTAATTTTATTCAAGCCAAATATCGGTGTGCCCAGCGTTAACAATTCCTATAGACACTCCCCCGTTTGCGTTGTTCCCAACGCAAACAAATTAAGAAATTTAGAACGGACTCTCATCCCACAGCAAATAACAGCAAATTGCACACATAAGTCTTTTAAACGGTACATCTCTCCAGCGCACACACCCACATAAGCAAGCGAACCGACCAGCGCACAAAATTGTGAGAAATCTCACCTTATGAGCCGGCGTCTTGAGCAGGAGTCACTTCGTAGCCCATGAATGGAACACTGGAGAGACTCAGCACGTCCCAAAGGTTCCTCGTCGCCATTCTGTGGTATCTAAAAATATGTTGCTAATTATGCTGTGATGATAAGAAGTCAGCTTACACTGTACTTTGATTATAAATGTTTATTGTATCAAAGATCACAGTATCAATTTACAGACATCTGCAGATATCTGGAGAACAACGGCCCAATCTGTTAATATGTTGTTTCCCCCGTCCTTTGTTCAAACATGGTATTTATCCTATGTAACATAAGATGGGTGATTTTAGATAAACCAATCCCTGGCCTTCACATATCTCCAAATGTCCTCTATTCCAAGAAGCCTATGTAGCAATGCTTTCCAGATGCTTCAGCAAAGCAGAGTAAAGTTCATCTATTACACCATTTGCAAATGTCAGCAAAATCAATAGACCTTCAGACACGACAATACAACCTATATTTATCTGTTTATTTATTTTCCCTTTCATACTGCAACTACTTACACATTGTTACAACACTAATAGCCAATAATATAACATTTTAAATGTCTATACTCTTTTAAAACATTTGTGAGTGTAATGTTTAATAATGTTTCCCTTGTTTATTTCCCTTTTGTTTATTGTCTATTCCATTTGCTTTGGCAATGTAAACATATGTTTCCCATGCCAATAAGGTTATTTGAATTGGAGAGAGAAAGAGAGAGAAAGACAAACAAACCAAAACAAAGTCTTCTCCTGCTTTGTTGATTTAAAAAAATGTTTGACTCAATTTAGCATGAGGGTCTGCTATACAAATTGATGGAAAGTGGTGTTGTGGGAAAAACGTACGATATTATAAAATCCATGTACACAAACAACAAGTGTGCAGTTCAAATTGGCAAAAAACACACACATTTCTTTCCACAGGGCCGTGGAGTGAGACAGGGATACAGCTTAAGCCCCACCCTCTTCAAAATATATATAAATGAATTGGCGAGGTTACTAGAACAGTCTGCAGCACCCGGCCTCACCCTACTAGAATCTGAAGTTAAATGTCTACTGTTTGCTGATGATCTGGTGCTTGTGTCCCCAACCAAGGAGGGCCTACAGCAGCACCTAGATCTTCTGCACAGATTCTGTCAGACCTGGGCCCTGACAGTAAATCTCAGTTAGACAAAAATAATGGTGTTCAAAAAAAGGTCCAGTTGCCAGGACCACAAATACAAATTCCATCTAGACACCGTTGCCCTAGAGCACACAACAAACTATACATACCTCGACCTAAACATGAGCGCCACACGTAACTTCCACAAAGCTGTGAACGATCTGAGAGACAAGGCAAGAAGGGCCTTCTATGCCATCAAAAGGAATGTAAAATTCAACATACCAATTAGGATCTGGCTAAAAATACTTGAAACAGTTATAGAACCCATTGCCCTTTATGGTTGTGAGGTCTGAGGTCCGCTCACCAACCAAGAATTCACAAAATGGGACAAACACCAAATTGAGACTCTGCATGCAGAATTCTGCAAAAATATCCTCTGTGTACAATGTAAAACACCAAATAATGCATGCAGATACCCGCTATTTATCCAAATCCAGAAAAGAGCTGGTAAATTCTACAACCACCTAAAAGGAATCGATTCCCAAACCTTCCATAACAAGCCATCACCTACAGAGAGATGAACCTGGAGAAGAGTCCCCTAAGCAAGCTGGTCCTGGGGCTCTGTTCACAAACACAAACAGACCCGACAGAGCCCCAGGCAGGACAGCAACACAATTAGACCCAACCAAATCATGAGAAAACAAAAGGATAATTACTTGACACATTGGAAAGAATTAACAAAAAAACTGTGCAAACTAGAATGCTATTTGGCCCTAAATAGAGAGTACACCGTGGCAGAATACCTGACCACTGTGACTGACCCAAAATTAAGGAAAGCTTTGACAGACTCAGTGAGCATAGCCTTGCTATTGAGAAAGGCCGCCATAGGCAGACCTGGCTCTCAAGAGAAGACAGGCTATGTGCACACTGCCCACAAAATGAGGTGGAAACTGAGCAGCACTTCCTAACTTCCTGCCAAATGTATGACCATATTAGAGAATCATATTTCCCTCAGATTACACAGAACCACAAAGAATTTGAAAACAAATCCAATTTTGATAAACTCCCATATCTATTGGGTGAAATACCACTGTGTGCAATCACTGTGTGCAATTTGTGACCTGTTGCCACAAGAAAAGGGCAACCAGTCAAGAACAAACACCACTGTAAATACAACCCATATTTATGTTTATTTATTTTCCCTTTTGTACTTTAACTATTTGCATATCGTTACAAAACTGTATATAGACATAATATGACATTTCAAATGTCTTTATGCTTTTGGAACCTTTGTGAGTGTAATGTTTACTGTTAATTTTGGGGAGGGGAGGGGTGATAGAGTAAGAGATGAAGGGGAGGTGAGGGATGAGGAGAGAGAGAGAGAGAGAGAGGAGAGAGAGAGAGAGAGAGAGAGAGAGAGAGAGATCAGGTTGAGACAGGGTGAGGAAGGAGATGGATTTAGGGGCAGCGGTGGAGACAGAGAGAGAGGGGGAAACGGCTGAGACTGATTGAGAGGAAGGGATCAGGATTCAAAGAGATAGTATAAGGAGAGAGTGAAAAGCATTGAAAGAGAATAGATGGAGACGCTCGTTAGACAGAGAAAGGTTCATATATATGGTCCTAATAGGTCTGCAGTAATTGCTGTAATTTGGCTGTGCTGGTCTCTGTTGATTAAACCTGGGGCCACAGACCCATACCACCAAGGATATACATTACCTCTACATGGCTGACTGGGATGTATGGAGACAATGGAGCTCTGTGCTCCACAAAACCAGTCACACACACAAATGCGCACAGACAAACACAGACACACACGCACACATCCACACAAACACATGCACACACACACACATGCACATGCACACAGACATACACATGGGCGTGCACACACACACACACACACACACACACACACACAAGAAATAACAGGGCTTTTGTTCTCAGGTTGCAGGTTCTGCCAGGTGCGCTGGTGTCACATATACACAGACATACTCAAAAACACTCCCATACGCACACACAGAGTTGTGACCTCAGTCTTGGTGCTGTGATGTCACTCTGTGACATCACATTCAGTGGAAAATCTCCTCAATTAAAAGTTTATCCCATTGTTTGTTTTGTTTCTCTCTCTTTTCCACTGGGTGCTTTTCTCAACGTTGGGATGGCGTTATAACAATGTTGTGATCAGTTCTCAGAGCTTTATGAATCCTCTCCCTGGAGCGCCTACTACCTACGCTCAGGAATTACTGCCTTCAGGTGAGCCCTGTATGTGGAGAACCACACATGAAACCAGAAAATCACTGTTAATAATGTAGTCCCTTGGTAACGGTGTTTGGTTCCGTGTGTGTGTGTGTGTGTGTGTGTGTGTGTGTTGACAGTGAAGGAGCAGATGGACTGAACGTGTTCTACTGGAGTAAGTTCTCGGGCCCTGGGGGCGTTGCCATGGAGATCCAGCGGTGGAGTCCGGAGCGCGTACAGCGCCGTCTCCCTGGCACCAATAAGCTGCTGTACAGCCACAACGAGAAGCACTACTACATGGAGAGAGACGACGAATCACTCAACCTGCTGGGTACTGTAACTTCTCTCTCTCTCTCTCTCTCTCTCTCTCTCTCTCTCTCTCTCTCTCTCTCTCTCTCTCTCTCTCTCAAATGTTATATTATGTCTATATACAGTGTTATAATGATGTGCAAATAGTTAAAGTACAAAAAGGAAAATAAATAAACATAAATATAGGTTGTATTTACAATGGTGTTTGTTCTTCACTGGTTGCCCTTTTCTTGTGGCAACAGGTCAGAAATCTTGCTGCTGTGATTGCACACTGTGGTATTTCACCCAATAGATATGGGAGTTTATTCAAATTGGATTTGTTTTTGAATTCTCTGTGGTTCTGTGTAATTTGAGGGAAGTATTTGTCTCTAATATGGTCATACATTTGGCAGGAAGTTAGGAAGTGCAGCTCAGTTTCCACCTCATTTTGTGGGCAGTGTGCACATCGCCTGTATTCTCTTGAGAGCCAGGTCTGCCTCTCTCTATCTCTCTCTTTCTTTCTCTGTTTCTCTCCCTCTCTGTCTCTCTGTCTCTATTTCTCTGTCTTCCTCTCTCTCTCACAGTCTCTCTGTCTATGGACTACAGCTCCCAGAATCCTTTAGTTTATTGTATATTCTTGCTTCTCGTGCCATTTAAAACTCCATTCTGTTACTACTATATTGTATGTATTTCTGTGCAGGTTTAGACTCTGATGACTATGATTCAGACGACAAGGCAGATAAAATCAAGAACCCCAACTCCCTGCAGAACTCTCTACAGAGCGGCAAGTGGCAGCTAGGATTCCAAGGTGAGGAATCATTGCCTTTCTTAGAACATAAACATACAGGTATTGTCACTTCGCAGACACTTCACCCAAAGACACTTCCAGGTATGACCTATAAAGTATGAACCCACAACCTTGGTGATGCCAATCCCACACTCCCACCGATCTTTCCCTCCCCCTAGCGATGTCCTTTGACCTCTATGCTAAGTATGGAAACAACCGTACCCTGAGCTTGGTGAGTCCCAAGAAGCCATACTACCAGTGGCGCCTTCGTGTCCCGTCGGGTCATGTGGTGCGTCTGGTCATCCTCAACCTGCACGGAGCCACACCCGGAAGCTGCTCCGCCCACAAACTGTCTGCCTATGACTTCCTGTTGCCACTACAGAACAAGATCATCGCCAGGTAGGAGATACACTACCTGTGATGATGGTATGGAATCCCATACCATCATCACAACTCTGTCATCTGACTCACACTCGTTAACCATCTGATGATAGTGCGCAGCTGAACACTTGTTATTTTAACTAAAACATAACCAATCTTTGTTAAACATAAATAACAAACTTGTTTTTGCATGGACTCCGCAACACGGTTAGCTTTTAACAGCTAGGACCGCTATTTCTTGTCCCGGAATCCTGCTTAACTGACAGGTTAAAGTCTGCTTGAAAGAGCCGCTAACCTAGCTAAGCTGCTAACATTAGCCAGCAAGCTAACGAAGTTAGTCCCAGATGAGTTTTCCAATGGAGCCCTCTTTGTCTGGAGAAGTAAATGAACAGTTCCAGCGCTGTAGGAGCTGTATCTACTACTCTTTGTTTCAGGACAAATCACTCAGAGTTCCAATGCGGCAATTGTTTGCTTGCCGAGGATTATAGGCTTGAGGTGGCTTCCTTGATCACGCAGGTAGCCAGCCTACGTAAGAAACTTGGTAAAACGCAGAGTGGCTGTTTACCTTTTCTACGCCGGTGGCTGGACGGCGTTCGTGCATGTTGGATGCATCTCCGTCTTGTCGTTTGTTGTTATCTGACTGGCCGGTGTTGCCCGGAGTTCAATCACCAGGGGAGCCATCTCCTGCCTCTCTTCCCCCATCTGATAGCGGAGTCGAAGGAGCACAGCAAGAGGAGCATGGCAATCAACGATGGTCGCATGTCACGAGCCATGGAAGCTGAAGACAGCGGCCTGCCGAAAAGCAGCCTACACTCCCAACGAGAGGCCCGGAGCGGATACAAACAACAAATAGTTTCACCGCCCTGATCTTCCTGCACCTTCGTCGCTGGGGGTACCTGTGTCTACGGCCACTGTGAATACTCCTACTCCTTCCCCTACGATTTTGAAGTCGACGTCGGCAACCTTCCATCCCTGCTCTGAATCGAGCGGGGCTTCTCTATCTGTCGGACGCCTGCACCATCCTGTGAAGCGTGGGAGTGGGCAGATTTCCTTGTCCTTCTCGCCAGCTGTGATTTTGGGCAGCTACATGGTAAAAAATGTGACTGTTCCTGGTGCAAAAACAATGTCCAATTCCGGAGCTCGAGTAAATGACATTACTAAGCTGTTCCCGAATATACTACGCCAGGACATGGACATCGATTCTATCGTAGTCCATGTGGGTTTTAATGACATTATGAAGGGAAGCTCTGAACAGTTGAAACTGGATTTCAAAGAGCTGATTGACTCTCTGCTAGACACTAATAAAAGACACATCATATCTGGCCCTGTGCCCTCTCTGAATCGTGGCATTGAATGCTTTAGCAAGATTATTTCTCTTCACAACTGGCTATATGTTTATTGCAGCTCAATGGGTGTAACTTTTGTTGACAATTTCGATAGCTTTTGGAAACAAAACACGTTTTATAAGGAGGATGGGATCCACCCAAATCATTTAGGTTCCTGGATCCTTTCACAGCATTATAAGGCTGCATTGAGACAACGACTTATCAATAACCCAAGCCCAGCTCAGTTAATCCCTACCATTGTGCCACTGAGTCATCATAATGCTTTAGCAAATGTACATTATACCAGGGGCATTGGTACACACAATGTAAGTAACTTAATTGATGTCCCTCTAACCGCCCTGAATGCCTCTGCTGATCCTACAGCTATTGTATGCAGCAATCATGTGTCTATGAACCAGATTTATGCTGTTAGCACTGAGGCAGTGTGTCCTAGTAGGAAGTCCACTGTGTGCAGCTCACCCTGCACTAACATAAATAACATGAGAATATCTGCTTCTGCTAAGCTTCCCAGTAAAGCAATGAAAACAAGCAAGCATCCCAGAAAAGTGCTCAAAATAGCCCGCGTGTCACGCTCTGGCTCCGGGACTCTGTATGTTGAGCCAGGGTGTGTTCGTTCTGTGTGGGTTGTTTCTATGTTGGTTGTTCTAGGTTGTTGTATTTCTTTGTTTGAGTGACTCCCAATCAGAGGTAACGAGTGTCAGCTGTTGGCTCGTTGTCTCTGATTGGGAGCCATATTTAAACTGTCTGTTTTCACCTTGTGTTTGTGGGTTTTTGTTCCTAGTCAGTCATTGTCACTGTGGACTTCACGAATCGTTATTTGTTTTGTTGTTTCGTGGTTCGCTTTAATTAAATAAAGCATCATGTTCGTGCAACACGCTGCGCTTTGGTCTACTCCTTTCCAAGACGATCGTGACAGAAAAACCCACCTTAACCAGATCAAGCAGCGTGACGAGGAGAGAGGATGGACGTGGCAGGAGATGATTGCGAGTCTGGCAAGAGGGAGAGAGGCCTTGGCCAGGGGGAAAGTCCCCCAGGAAATTTTTAGGGGGGGGCTCACGACGTCGGGGCAGCAGGTGTACGGGGTAGAGTGGTGCAAAGCGTTGGCAGAGAAGGCCGCCAGGTTAGGGGGGCCACTGGGCACAGAGGAGAGGGAAAGTGTGGAGGCACGGCGAGAGGTACTGGGGTGTGTTACCAGTCCGGTCCGGCCCGTTCCTGATCCCTGCGTGGGGCCAGTGGTGTGTGTCCCCAGTACGGTCCGGCCTGTTCCTGCCATTCCCACCAAGTCAGTGGTGCGCGTCGTCAGCCCAGCCCGGCCTGTTCCTGCCATTCCCACCAAGCCTACGGGGTGCGTCGCCAGTCCAGCTCGGCCTGTCCCTGCTCCACGCACAAAGCCTACGGTGTGCGTCGCCAGCCCAGCCCGGCCTGTCCCTGCTCCACGCACCAAGCCTACGGGGTGCGTCGCCAGTCCAGCCCGGCCTGTCCCTGCTCCACGCACAAAGCCTACGGTGTGCGTCGCCAGCCCGGCCCGGCCTGTCCCTGCTCCACGCACCAAACCTACGATGTGCGTCGCCAGCTCGGCCCGGCCAGTTCCTGCCACTCGCACCAAACCTACGGTGCGAGTCGCCAGCCCGGCCCGGCCTGTTCCTGCCACTCGCATCAAGCCAGGGGTGCGAGTCGTCAGCCTGGTCCAGCCCGTTCCTGCCACTCGCACCAAGTCAGGGGTACGAGTCGTCAGCCTGGTTCAGCCCGTTCCTGCTACTCGCACCAAGCCCGGGGTGCGAGTCGTCAGCCAGGTCCGGCCCGTCGCTGCTCCACGCACCAAGCCAAGGGGGCGCATCGTCAGCCAGGTCCGGTCCGTTCCTGCCTCACGCACCAAGCCAAGGGGGCGCATCGTCAGCCAGGTCCGGTCCGTTCCTGCCTCACGCACCAAGCCAAGGGGGCGCATCGTCAGCCAGGTCCGGTCCGTTCCTGCCTCACGCGCCAAGCCAGGGGTGCGCGTCGTCAGCCTGGTCCAGCCCGTTCCTGCTACTCGCACCAAGCCAGGGGAGCGAGTCGTCAGTCCGGCACAACCCGTGCCTGAGTCATCGGTGCCAATTCAGGTACCGCTCAACTGCTCCACTAAGGAGCTGAAGCCTACCGCTCCTGCTACGTCCAGTCCAGCTCCAGCCAGCAGGGCCAGACCGGACCAGGGGCGCTATGGGGGGTTTGTTGAAGGGTTTTGGTCAAGCCCGGAGCCGGAACCGCCGCCGAGGAGGTATGCCCACCCAGCCCTCCCCTGTTTTGCTCTTTTGAGGCGCGGTCGCAGTCCGCGCCTTTAGGGGGGGGTACTGTCACGCTCTGGCTCCGGGACTCTGTATGTTGAGCCAGGGTGTGTTCGTTCTGTGTGGGTTGTTTCTATGTTGGTTGTTCTAGGTTGTTGTATTTCTTTGTTTGAGTGACTCCCAATCAGAGGTAACGAGTGTCAGCTGTTGGCTCGTTGTCTCTGATTGGGAGCCATATTTAAACTGTCTGTTTTCACCTTGTGTTTGTGGGTTTTTGTTCCTAGTCAGTCATTGTCACTGTGGACTTCACGAATCGTTATTTGTTTTGTTGTTTCGTGGTTCGCTTTAATTAAATAAAGCATCATGTTCGTGCAACACGCTGCGCTTTGGTCTACTCCTTTCCAAGACGATCGTGACACCGCGTTAACATATGTAGCTTAAGAAACATGGTTTATGACATTTTTTTAAATGCTGTTGATGTAAAGAATATTTGTTGGTCCGTGGTATGTAATGAGGAGCAAACAGACGTTACATTTGACACATTTATGAAATTGCTTATCCCAGTTACTAATAAGCATGCACCCATTAAGAAAAAGACTGTAAAAACTGTTAAATCCCTGTGGATTGATGAGGAATTGAAAAATTGTGTGGTTGAGAGGGATGAGGCAAAAGGAATGGCAAATAATCTGGCTGCACAACCGATTGGCAAACTGAATAAAATAAGAAACTACACTATGAAACAAATATAAAAGACATAAAGAATGATAGTAAAAAGCTTTGGAGCACCTTCAATGACATTTTGGGAAAGAATGCAAACTCAGCTCCATCATTCATTGAATCAGATGGCTCATTCATTACAAAACCAACTGATATTGCCAACTACTTTAATTATTTTTTCATTGGCAAGATTAGCAAATTTAGGCATGACATGCCAGCAACAAATGCTGACACTACACATCCAAGTATATCTGACCAAAGTATGTGTCACGACTTCCGCCAAGGCTGCCTCCCCTCCTTGTTCGGGCAGGCTTCGGCGTTCGTCGTCACCGGCTTAATAGCCACTGCCGCTCCATTATTCATCATTCCATTTGTCTTGTCTTGTCAATCACACACACCTGGTTCTTATCCCCTCATTAGTCAGTGTATAAGTGTTCCCTCTGCCCCCCTTGTCCTTGTGGGTGATTGTTTATTTGTGAGAGTTGTGTAGCTCGGTGAAGCTACTCGTACATTGTTATTGCCGGGGTAGATATTTCCCCTGTGCCTGTTATTGTTGGAGCTACCGTTACCTTGTATTGCCAGGGTAGATTTTCCCCTGTGCCTGTTTCGTTTGTCACTATCCAGCGCTATTTGTGTACGACGGAATAAACTCTGCATTCGGTGATTCCCCTCCTGCGCCTGACTCCTTCTATCACACTCATCACAGAATCACCCACCCGCTATGGAGTCAGCGGGAGAAGAGCGCCTGCCTATGTATGTGTACCTGTATGTATTGTGACATTTCTGTCTGTCTATTCCAGGTGGTGTGGTCAGCCAATGTCTGGCTCATCTCCTGTAATGAAGCTGACGTCGTCTGGTAACGTGATGCTGGTCACCTTCTCCTTCAGCAGACAGAGAGATGGAGCCATCTTCAAGGCCTACTTCCAGGCCATCCCCAAAGCAGGTCAGACACACTATTACCACAGATAGAACAATGAGACAGATATTTCACCGGATGTATAAATGTGAAGCATTTAGTGGCCGGCAGTGGGAGAAGTCTTGGCCGACATTCTGCGAATTCTGTCATCAATGACACGTTTGATCTCAATACAGTTTTCTGTTCCCAAAACTACAATCTGTTACGGACAGAGTGGACTAAGTTTTGTAGACTTTGCCAAAGTTTCAAAAAATTGCATCGTTTAGAAGAGTGCAAAGGCACTTTTAGTTATTGCACACGAGCACTTCACAGAGTAGGCGTTCCCTAACGTAAATATGCAAATGTATGCTAGAACGTGCCAATAGGATCTCGCTGGCTCGTGCTCGGCTCTGCCCACCTCCTTGCTTGTTCTGCCCACTATGACTCATTTGTTCCTTTTTGAAACGATAGGCTGTGGTCTATCTTGGTTTAGTTATAAAAATCTTTGCAATTACCACACACTACAACCATGGGGAAGGCACTGCTTGCCGAAACGTTGGTTGTACATTAAATTATTGGGAGCATATTTAGAGTGTGCGACATTCATTCTTTCTTTCTATATTATACCTCTGCAACAGACATTCTAGACTCAAGACCATGATAGTCCAATGAGCTAAAGCCTTGGCTATAGGAGCAAACACAAGTCACCAAGATACCGTCTGTGTTATCCTATTCAATATTTACAATAGGTCTTCTTACATGTCTTATGTAATAACTTGTCTATTACAGCTGTCCAATAGACTCCTGTTGATGCATGGTCTGTGTCAATGTCGTCCCCTGTAGGTTGTGGAGGGTCTCTGTCCTCCTGGAACGGCTCTCTGTTCTCTCCCTACTACCCTGCCCACTACCCCCCCAACCTGGACTGCAGCTGGACCATACGGGTGAGCTCACACCCCAGGGGACTTCACACACACAACACCCACAGTGTGTGTGTGTGTTGACAGTAGGTCTGCTCCACATTCCTGCATCTGAACCACTGCTTCTCTCGGGTGTCTCTTTCAGGCGCCGTTGCCTGGATACCTAATCTCCATGACGATCGTGACGTTGGACATCCAGGACTCTTCGTCTTCGGACGGCTGTGAGAAAGACTGGCTGGACATTGGAGGGGTCAAGTAAGTGTTGCCGTTGTAGCAGTACTGATGACATACTGCACAGTGAATGTGTGTTTGCAGTCTATGTGTGATATATTAACTGTTATGTATGTGAGTGTGTGTGTGTTATATTAACTGTGGTGTGTGTTGTCTCAGGCTGTGTAACCCCATGACTGACAGCAGCAGAAAGAAGATGTACTCCTCTCCTGTCTCTCTCCACTTCCACTCTGACGAGTCTGTCACTCACAAGGGCTTCTACCTTCTCTACAGAGCCTTCTCCCCTGAGAGCAGTATGTCTCACACACCTCTACCTCACACCTCTACTACACCTCCACCTCACACCTCTACCACACCCCTATATCACACACCTCTACCTCAACTCTACCATACCTCTACCTCACACCTCTACCTCAACTCTACCACACCTCTACCTCACACCTCTACCTCAACTCTACCATACCTCTACCTCACACCTATATCACACACCTCTACCACACACCTCTACCTCAACTCTACCACACCTCTACCTCACACCTATATCACACACCTCTACCACACCTCTACCACACCTCTACCACACACCAGTAACACAGCTAGTGTAGCACATGGGGATGTGAAACGTACTCCTCAGACTGAAGTGTCGCCACTTGAGCCATCGAATAGTTAACTTTTCAGTGGTGCCGACTGGTAAGACGCTTCAGGAGGGCTGTCACGTGTGCTAGCAGGTCCTGGGTTTGAGCCTCGGTGGAATCAGGAGGAAGTGGTACTCGCTGAGCAAGCAGTGTGACGTCCTTTACACTAGCCTATACAGATTTACTTAGATTAGCTTAGAGTTGCAATCTAAATACTCAACTCTACCATACACACTGAGACAGACCTGTAGATTCCAGGTTTTCACTCGTACAGAGCTACTGTAGTAGGCGGTCTCTCTTTCTTTCATCTCTTCCTCTCTCATCCCCCTCTCTCTCTCCAGCGTGTCCTCGTCAGTTCCGCTGTGGGGATGGGAGGTGTGTTCCTCTCAGGAAGGTGTGTGACGGAGTCAGAGACTGTTCAGACGGACGGGACGAGGCTAAATGCTGTAAGTATGTTATCCTCAACACTCTAACTCCTCACATACATGCATACAGTAAGGATGACGAAGATGTTGAAGATTGTTAATGTTTCATTGACAGTGATCACCATAAGTGATCTGTCTGTGTAATAAGTACTGTATGTCTTCAAACCAAAGCCAATATGTTGTGTTGTGTGTAGCGACCTGTCGTCCAGGTGAGGTGTATTGTGGGAACGGTCAGTGCCGGCCTCACAGCAGCCAGTGTAACAGTCAGAGTAAATGTGGAGATAGCAGCGAGGAGGCTGACTGTGGTGAGTACCATACACACACGCCTGGGCCACACAATAACACGCTATCTAGAGATCTGCTTAGAAACTGCTTAGAAACATCATTGCATATTTTGTTCATCATAAGATTGTATGAGTCCATTTTCTACTTGTTTTCATTATGCCAGCTGCATAGAGGACTGGTCTGTGGTAAGGACGGCCCCTCTCCCCATTGCTGGGTCAGGGTGTGTTTATGTGTGTGTGGTGGTTGTATTTGCATGTGTGTTTATGCTCCAGGCCAGGTGTTCACTCTGTTGGCCCCCCAGCAGGTCAATGCTACCACATGTGCTCCAACAAGGTGTGTGTGTCGAAGTCCTCAGTCTGTGACGGTGTCATAGACTGCAAGGACCGCAGTGATGAGATCAACTGCACTAGAGCATGTGAGTCCGTCCATCTGTCAATCGGTCCGTCCGTCCTTCCATCCGTCTGCATCTTTCTTTGTTTCTCTTCATCCAATCCTCAATCCCTCTCTCTTTCTCTGTTTTTCCCCCCCCTCCCTCTATTTCTGTGTGTCCAGTCCATAAGGGCTGCTCCCCATCCTCCTATAAGTGTGCCAATGGGAAGTGTGTGAATAAGATCAACCCTGAGTGTGACGGAGTCAAAGACTGTTCTGATGGATCAGACGAGACGCGCTGCGGTGAGACTCATTACCACTTATAACACACGTATGAACCTACATATACCAGTTATAACAAACGTATGAACCTACATACACCAGTTATAACACACGTATGAACCTACATACACAGTTATAACACACGTATGAACCTACATATACCAGTTATAACACACGTATGAACCTACATACACCAGTTATAACACACGTATGAACCTACATATACCAGTTATAACAAACGTATGAACCTACATACACCAGTTATAACACACGTATGAACCTACATATACCAGTTATAACACACGTATGAACCTACATACACAGTTATAACACACGTATGAACCTACATATACCAGTTATAACACACGTATGAACCTACATACACCAGTTATAACACACGTATGAACTTACATACACCAGTTATAACACACGTATGAACCTACATACACCAGTTATAACACACATACGAAACCTACATACACCAGTTATAACACACGTATGAATCTACATATACCAGTTATAACACTTTCCCCCCAGGTTGTGGCACCCGGCCCAGGAAGCGTGCTAAGATAGTGGGCGGATCTGACGCGGGGACGGGGGCATGGCCGTGGCAGGTCAGTCTGCAGATGGAGCGTTATGGTCATGTCTGTGGAGCGACCCTGGTCACCAGCCGCTGGCTCATCTCTGCTGCACACTGCTTCCAGGACTCTGAAGCCATAAAGTGAGATTCTTTGTTATTATAGTCTGTATTGTTGTGTTCATTAGTTTCCTCGTCATCATCATCATCATCATCATAGTCCTTATCATCATCATCATCATCATAGTCCTCATCATTATCATAGTCCTTATCATCATCATCATCATCATCATCATCATCATAGTCCTTATCATCATCATCATCATCATCATCATCATCATCATAGTCCTTATCATCATCATAGTCCTCATCATCATCATAGTCCTCATCATTATCATAGTCCTTATCATCATCATAGTCCTCATCATTATCATAGTCCTTATCATCATCATCATCATCATCATTACTGTAATAATGATTTGTGTGTGCCTGTGTACTTCCATGTGTGTCCCTGCCTGGCTGTGTGTTTAGGTACTCTGATGCGCGGTCGTGGCGTGCCTACATGGGAATGCGTGTGATGAACACGGGCAGTAATGCTGCAGCCACCAGACAGATCCGTCGTATCATCCTTCACTCCCAGTACGACCAGTTCACCTCTGACTACGACATCGCCCTGCTGGAGCTCAGCACCCCTGTCTACTTCAATGACTTGGTACAGCCCGTCTGTGTCCCCGCCTCCTCACACGCCTTCACCACCGGGACCAGCTGCCACGTCACGGGCTGGGGGGTCCTGATGGAGGATGGTAAGTGCTGCCCAAGGATAACAGCTGATGTTTGATACCTGCCAGAAAACAGAAAATATGTCCAAAATGATCTCTTTGGAATCCTTGTATGATTTGTCAGCTAGTTACTATTCATACAACATTCTATAAATAATTTTCTGTCGAGTTCCAGGTGCTTGCACATAATTTCTTAGTAAATACCAGGTAAATACTAACTCTAATAGAACTATCTATATAAAACGAAGTGTTACTGAGTTCCTGTGTTTGTTCCAGGTGAGCTGGCGTCTCTGCTGCAGGAGGCCACAGTTAAGATCATCAACAGGAACAACTGTAACAAACTCTATGATGACGCTGTCACTCCCAGGATGCTGTGTGCTGGCAACCTGCAGGGAGGAGTGGACGCCTGTCAGGTGAGGAGGGGTTTCTGAGTGTGTGTGTGTGTGTGTGTTTGTTTTGTCATTGTGTGTGTTAATGTGCCTCTGCATGTGTTTTTATGAGTTTTATCTTTGTGTTTTCATGTTTATGTGTCTGTCTGTGTTTGCACATGTGTGTGTGTGTTTAGGGTGACTCAGGGGGTCCTCTGGTGTGTCTAGAGAGGGGTCGGCGGTGGTTCCTTGCAGGGATCGTGAGCTGGGGGGAGGGGTGCGCTCGGCAGAACCGCCCTGGAGTCTACACACAGGTCACCAAGTTCACAGACTGGATCCACCTGCAGACTAAAGGACAGGTCTGACAGACTGACAGACGTCTGGATGACATCAGCATGTGAACAGACTCAGTGGCTGGCACCATGTGACTGTAACGGGGGTAAAGAGACATCACCTGCAGCCCCTGCTTTATGATTTATACCAGGCCCCATGTCACTGACATCATTATCAACTGTTACCCCCCCACCCCCATCATACCCCCCCCCTCTTCATTTATGGCCAAGCACCTCTCTTTGTCTCTTCATGGTTTCCATTGTCCTCCTGACTGTTCCTCTCTCCCCACTTGTCCCTGATCATCCCAGTGGTCTGTCTGTCCTGACTGTTCCTCTCTCCCCACTTGTCCCTGATCATCCCAGTGGTCTGTCTGTCCTGACTGTTCCTCTCTACCCACTTGTTCCTGATCATCCCAGTGGTCTGTCTGTCCTGACTGTTCCTCTCTACCCACTTGTTCCTGATCATCCCAGTGGTCTGTCTGTCCTGACTGTTCCTCTCTCCCCACTTGTCCCTGATCATCCCAGTGGTCTGTCTGTCCTGACTGTTCCTCTCTACCCACTTTTGTCTGTCTGTCCTGACTGTTCCTCTCTCCCCACTTGTCCCTGATCATCCCAGTGGTCTGTCTGTCCTGACTGTTCCTCTCTACCCACTTGTCCCTGATCATCCCAGTGGTCTGTCTGTCCTGACTGTCCCTCTATCTGTTCTCTGTGAAGTGATCACTTGGAGATGATGATGTGCCTGGTCTATTTCATGTCCACACTGCACACAGAGCAATTTAAGTGGAAAGAGTTCTCTCTGTAGTAGTACGATGTGCTGTAGCGTGTGTGTTATTATGTCTATTTACATTGTGTGTGCAAGATTGTATTTGTGAACATATGTACTGTATCATTGTATGAATATGTATATTATGAGCCTGTTTGAGTTATAGGCAATATTGTATTTAGATTATATTTGTTTTATGGTAAACGTTCCCTGTGTTAGGGATAATATTGTCTGTTTCAAATGTACACTCATCTTATACTAGTATGATATCCTTCATTGAGCCTAATGACTAAGGCATCTTTTACTAATAGCCTCAGAACCTGAGAGTGAGGGTTGCTGCCCCCTCTGTCCAAGAGACCAGCGCCTCACAGTGGCCATTGTATGACATTACACCTCAATCATCCAATTCCATTTCAATAATTTTTATTTCCTAACACTTTTTAAGATGTAAATGTAAAAAACAATCCTGTTTATTCATTTGTATTTAGATTATTGAAGGAGTTAAATCCATATTAAACAGAGCGCTTATATGGTATGTTCAATGTGTGTGTGTTGTCTATTTGTGTCTGTACACTTAGAAAAAAGGGTCTCAAAAGGATTCTTCGGCTGTCCCCATAGGAGAACCCTTTTTGGTTCCAGGTAGAACTATTTTTGGTTCCAGGTAGAACTATTTTTGGTTCCAGGTAGAACTCTTTTGGGTTCCATGTAGAACCCTCTGTGGAAAGGGCTTTACATGGAACACAAACGGGTTCTACCTGGAACCAAAAAGGGTTCTTTAAAGGGTTCTCCTATGGGGACAGCCAAAAAACAATTTTAGGTTCTAGATAGCACCTTTTTTTTCTAAGCGTGTACCTTTTGTTATGTTGTCTGTCTGCTCGTTTGATCTTTGTATGGTATACCTACAAAATGAGGAGGTTATATATACCTACTGTAGGAGGTTGTGAAGATCAAACCGTCATGCCATTTTATGAGTCTCTCTCTAGGTGGCACTATTGTATATACATGTCCACCTGCAGAATGGACTGCACATTTCATCAAGACTCACTAAACATGATATATATCCTATTTATACTGAACCAAAATATAAACGCAACATGTAAAGTGTTGGTCCCATGGTTCATGAGCTGAAATAAAAAAAATCCCAGAAATGTTCCATAAGCACAAAAAGCTTATTTCTCTAAAAACAAATTGCACAAATGTGTTTACATCCCTGTTAGTGAGCATTTCTCCTTTGCCAAAATAATCCGTCCACCTGACAGGTGTGGCATATTAAGAAGCTGATTAAATAGCATGATCATTGCAAAGGTGCACCTTATGCTGGGGACAAGAAAAGGCCACTCTAAAATGTACAGTTTTGTCACACAACACAATGCCTCAGATGTCTCAAGTTTTGAGGGAGCGTGCGATTAACATGCTGACTGCAGGAATGTCCATCAGAGCTGTTGCCAGAGAATGTCATGTTAATTTCTCTAAAACAATGTTGTTTTAGGGAATTTGGCAGTACATTCAACCGGCCTCACAACCGTAGACCACGTGTAACCACGCCAGCCCAGGACCTCCACATCCAGCTTCTTCACCTGCGGGATCGTCTGAGACCAGCCACCCGGACAGCTGATGAATCTGTGGGTTTGCACAACCGAATAATTTCTCCACAAACAGTCAAAAACCGTCTCAGGGAAGCTCATCTGCGTGCTCGTAGTCCTCACCAGGATCTTGACTTGACTGTAGTTCGGCGTCATAACCGACTTCAGGGGGCAAATGCTCACCTTCGATGGCCACTGACACCCTGGAGAAGTGTGCTTTTCACGGATGAATCCCGGAACTACGAAGCACTCACAACCATTGACCTATCCAACTGTTATAGCGGACTGCGCCACCAATTAGTCTTAGCAGTTGAGAAAAAATACGAGTTGACCACCATTTTTGTCTATTTCTTGTTATGATGGATGTAGCTATGAATATAAACGTATGATCCTCATAGCCTACATGATTTTTTTTCTTTGTAAAAGCACATAGATGTGTATATAACGGTAAGCAAAAACGTTGAATTTGGTCATATGTGGAAATGTGCCTTGCTGCCTTTTGAATTTTGTGTAACGTCAGTTGTCTAGTCAAGGAAGCATCATGCAAATATACTGAACAAAAATATAAACTCAACATGAGCTGAAATAAAAGATCCCCGAAATTTTTCATATGCACTAAAAGCTTATTTCCTCAAAATTTGTGCACACATTTGTTTACATCCCTGTTAGTGAGCATTTCTCCTTTGCCAAGATAATCCATCCACCTGACAGGTGTGGCATATCAAGAAGCTGATCAAACAGCATGGTCATTGCACATGTGCACCTTGTGCTTGGGACAATAAAAGGCCACTCTAAAATATGCAGTTTTGTCACACAACACAATGCCACAGATGTCATGCCACAGATGTCAAGTTTTGAGGGAGCGTGCAATTGGCATGCTGACTGCAGGAATGTCCACCAGAGCTGTTGCCAGATCATTGAATGTTCATTTGCACAACCAAAGAATTTCTGCACAAACTGTCAGAATCCGTCTCAGGGAAGCTCATCTGCATGCTCTTCGTCCTCACCAGGGTCGTGACCCTGACTGCAGTTCAGAGTCATAACCGACTTCAGTGTGCAAATGCTCACCTTCGATGGCCATTGGCATGCTGGAGAAGTCTGCCCTTCACGGATAAATCCCAGTTTCAACTGTACCGGGCAGAAGGCGTCGTGTGGGCGAGCGGTTTGCTGACGTCAACGTTGTGAACAAAGTGCCCCATGGTGGCGGTGGGATTATGATACGGACAGGCATAAACTGCGGACTACGAACACAATAGCATTTTATCAATGGCAATTTGAATGCACAGAGATACCGTGACGAGATCCTGAGGCCCATTGTCATGTCATTCATCTGCCGCCATCACCTCATGTTTCAGCATGATAATGCCCGGCCCCATGTCGCAAGGATCTGTACACAATTCCTGGAAACTGAAAATGTCCCAGTTCTTCCATGGCCTGCATACTCACCAGACATATCACCCATTGAGCATGTTTGGGATGCTCTGGATCGACGTGTATGACAGCATGTTCCAGTGCTTGCCAGTATTTGCCAGCAGCATACCACCCTGCAACCCACTGCTGGCTTGCCTCTGAAGCTAAGCAGGGTTGGCCCCTGGATGGTAGAACAGATGCTGATGGAAATGTTGTTGGATGGCCAGTAGGAGGCACTCTTTCCTCTGGTCTAAAAACATATCCCAATGCCCCAAGACAATGGTTGGGAACATTACCCTGTGTAGGGTGCTGTCTTTCGGATGGTATGCTAGACGGGTGTCCTGACTTTCTGTGGTCACTAAAGATCCCATGGCACTTACCATAAGAGTAGGGGTCCTGGCTAAATTCCCTATTTGGCCCTCATACAATCATGGCCACCTAATCATCCCCAGCTTCCAATTGGCTCATTCATCCCCCTCCTCTCCCCTATAACTATTCTCCAGGTCATTGCTGTAAATGAGAATGTGTTCTCAGTCAATTGACCTGATCAAATAAGGGTTAAATTAAATAAATAAATATCTAGCAACTTTGCACAGCCTTTGAAGAGGAGTGGGACAACATTCCACAGGCCACAATCAACAGCCTGATTAACTCTATGCTAAGGAGATGTGTCGCGCTGCATGAGGCAAATGGTGGTGACACCAGATACTGACTGGTGTTCTGATCCATGCCCCTACCTTTTTTAAGGTATCTGTGACCAACAGATGCATATCTGTATTCCCAGTCATGTGAAATCCATAGATTAGCGCCTAATGAATTTATTTCAATTTTTCTGATTTCCTTATATGAACTGTAACTCAGTAAAATCTTTGACATTTTTGAATGTTGCGTTTATATTTTTGTTCAGTATAATTGAAACGACTAGAATTTGTTTTACAGTGTGACTCGTGCACACTTTCACTAATAGCACTCGCCACCATTTGTGGCTAGATAGTATACAGCTTTGGACGGAATTGACTTTTCATAGCAGGTTAGGAGAGCATTTTATCCAGCCCTAACCACCCTAACCCTTTTCCTAAACTTAAACTAATTATCCTAACCTGCTACGTTAATTATCTTAACCTGCTGCGTATGTTCTCAAAACCTGATATGAGAGGTCACTTCCGTCCGTAGCTGTGTACCATCTGGTCAAAACCCTCGCTACCCCTACTGTCATGCTGTTTCCATGAAATGAATTATGTGCGTGCCTGACACCAGGTAAGGTAATGCCA